TGAAATTGGAGGGATACATTAAGAAACAGAGAATCGTAATATTAATTGACACTAGCAGTACACAGAATGTTGTTCATGCTGCCCTTGCGAAACGATTGAAGCCTCCAATCATAGATGGTCATGCTCTGTGTGTTAATGTCACAGGTGGTCATCAGCTTCCGATCAATAGATTTTGTCAAGAGTTACCATGGTCAACGGCTGATAGGACCTTTGTGGATGATTTTTTGGTGATGGATTTAGGTGTCTTAGATTTAATTTTGGGAGCCTAGTGGCTCAGGAGGTTGGGTCGCATTATTTTGGACATGGACCAGCATTTTATTGCCTTCAATTATCAAGGCCAACACATTGAAATTTTTGGGATGGGCTCTCTGAAGTCCAAGTTCAAAAGAATGAGATTGAACGACAAGTGTAGCAAATGCTTCAAACTAGAGTTATTCGTCCAAGTTGGAGCCCATTCACAGTACCAGTTGTGTTGGTTCATAAGAAAGATGGTACTTGGAGTTTTTGCGTTGACTATAGGCGATTGAATGACCAGACTATTAAAAAAAAATTTCCTATTCCTCTCATTAAAGAGCTTCTTAATGAGTTGTAGGGCGCTTGTTATTTTTCAAAACTTGACTTACGAGCTGGCTATCATCAGATTTGAATGCATCCTCTAGGCATTCACAAGACGGCGTTTAAAACTCATGAAGGCTTATACAAATTTATAGTGATGCTCTTCGAGCTCATGAATACCCCGTCAACTTTTCAGAGCCTAATGAATTCGGTTTTAAAGCTCATCTGTGAAAATTCATTCTTGTTTTTTTTTTTATGACATTTTGGTCTATAGTCCTGATTGGGTTACCCATTTAACTCACTTGACTCAAACGCTCTCTATTTTACATACACATCAACTTTATGCTAAAGCTAGCAAATGTGTTTTTGGACCAACACAGGTAGATTATCTGGGACATATTATTTCGGCTAAAGGTGTTGAGGTTGATCCTCAAAAGATAGCATCCATTCAGTCATGGCCTCCTCCTACAGCTGTGCGTGCCTTGCATGGATTCCTTGGACTTGCCGGATATTACCTTTGCTTTGTGAAGAATTTCAATCTGACCTGCCAGCCTTTGACAATGTAACTACACCATGATTCTAAGTTTCAGCGGACAAAAGAAGCCCAACGTGCTTTTGACTCATTAAAGACTGCTATGACTTCTCCAGTTTTAGCACTTCCTAACTTTAATGAGAAGTTTATCATTGAGACTGATGCTTTAGGATTCGGAATAGGGCTGTGTTGAGTCAAAAGGGTCACCCTGTTGCTTTTATAAGTAAAAGTCTTAATGGTCGCTATCGCACCTTCTCTACTTATGAACGGGAACATATGGCCATTGTGTTCGCTGTCAAGCACTGGCGTTCTTACTTGGTTGGTCACCCCTTTACGATTTGAACATATCATCTTCCACCGAAGCATTTATTACAACAGAAGTCTGTTTCCCCTTATCAACTAAAATGGATTAATAAATTGTGGGTTCTGACTTATGATATTAAGTATCGCAAAGGCAAGGACAATCTAGTAGCAGATGCTCTTTCATGACAATTTGAGGCTTTGGTTGTTGCCATTACTACCCCTATGATAGAGTTATACGATTGGGTTCAACAATCATGGGCTACTGATGAACACATTCAGCGTCTTATCGCTGATTTAGAAAATGACCCTCAGTCTAATCCTGCTTTTTCATGGTCAAACGGGGTACTGAAACGTAAGGGCTATTTGGTAGTAGGAGCAGATTGTGCCTTGTGGTCAGAGTTACTATCTCACTTTCATGGAGACGCAATTGGGGGCCATTCTAGTGCCATAGCTACATGCAAATGCATTTCTTCTATCTCCTATGGAAGGGTCTTGAAAAAGTTGTTCGTGAATTTGTGAGAAATTGCAGTACATGTCAGCATTTCAAATATGAAACCATTGCCACTCCAGGACTAATTCAGCCATTGCCCATCCCTGATCACATCTGGACTGAACTTTCAATGGACTTCATTGGAGGTCTTCCAAAGTCTTACTTTAAAACTACCATTTTAGTAGTAGTCGACTGCCTCAGCAAAGCAGCACATTTTGTTGCCTTACAGCATCCTTTTTCTGCAGTTGATGTGGCCCAAGTTTTTATGGATAACATTGTTAAATTGCGTGGGTTCCCTAAGTCTATAGTAACAAATAGAGATTCCATTTTTTGTGGCAAAGTTTGGAAGGAATTATTTCGACTCAATAGGGTCAAGCTTCAGTATTCTTTAGCCTATCACCCCCAATCTGGTGGACAGGCAGATGTATTGAGTCACTATTTGGAATGTTATTTGAGGTGTATGACTAGTGATTATCCGAAGCAGTGGGTTAAATGGCTGTCGTTAGCTGAATTATGGTATAACACTAACTATTATTCAGCTATCAATATGACTCCCTTTCAAGCAGTTTATGGTATTCTGCCGCCTACTCATCTTTCGTATCCGCCAGGAGATTCCAATAATGACATGGTTGATCGTGTCTATGTGTCAAGGGAGATTACTATTCGAACTCTTAAACAACATTTGCTGAATGCTCAAAACTGAATGGTGCAGCAAGCAAATAAGCATCGCTCTGATAGAGAGTTTTCTATTGGCGATATGGTGTTTTTAAAGTTACATCCCTTTAGGTGAAATTTGTTGAATAATTCATCCCTGCATAAGTTGGCTGCACGGTACTTTGGACCCTTTAAGATTTTGAACAAAATCGGCAAGGTCGCATATGAACTGGAGTTGCCACCAGGGTCTCGGTCCACCCTATTTTTCATGTTTCCTTGTTGAAACGAGCTGCACCCATGATATCCCCTGTGAGTCCGGTTTTACCAATTGTGGATGAGGAGTGTCAAATTGCTATAAAACCAATGGCTTTTTCAAATCATGTCAAAAGAATAAATTTGAAAAATACAATTAAAAAAAGACTTCTTGCGGAGGACTAAAATGAATTTAAAAAAAAAAAAAGAAATCATGAAACTCAAAACAAATCAGACTGAAAGTTACCCCCTCATCATGGAAATCCTACTTGGCCAACTGATTTTCTTGGTAAACAAGCTAATTTAGATAAAGTGTTTCAAGACATGAAATTTTATAGATTAGATATGAAAAAAAAACTATAGAAGTTCCAATCAGGAAATGAAAAGAAAGATGTGTGTATGTTTAAGTATAAAATTATCAAAGAGGAGTCTCTCTACTTTCCTCTCCCTCCATTTCCTGCCATTTCTCATTTCAACTATAAGATTCAATGATTTGAAAACCGGAACGAGTTTAACAGAATCGAACAATTGGAAAAATAAGAGAAGTTGCAGAAGGAGATGAAGGAAAAAATATTGAGAGAAGGTAAGAAAAACCCATTCAAGAAAGAGGAAAAAATAGAGATGATCTTACTACTAATAACTAATCAGATCTACCTTTAATCACAAACCCAGATCCATCTTTTAAAGCTCTAGATATCAGCAAAATGGAGAAACCATACGAGGCGGCTTCAAGAATGCGAAGTCGAAGACGGCCATTTGAAATGAAACAGGAGAAGAGAGCAAGTGGGGTCAACTTTTTGACCAAGTTTCATTCTCTCACCACGTGTCTCTCTTCATGTGATTATAAAATTGAGTGAGGAAGAAGGCAAAAATAGATAAATTTCACTACGGTATTGTGTTGTCATGTCAAAACAAAGTTTATAAAAAGAATTAAATATCAGTAAACATTATTTAATGTTGATAAATTTTACATTATCTTTTGTCTGATAGAAGGTTTGTATTTAATTTTATTTTTTATCAAGCATTTTATAACATTAATTAATTACTTAATATCTTAATAATTTGACATGTTTTGGTATTTTTGACACTTTAATATTATATTTCTTAGACATATGTCATTACATGTATATATAATATTATTTTTTATTTAATTATTATATTACCGATCTGACTAAATAGTCTGAACGGTCCCACTAACTTTTTCGGTTCAACTTCCGGTCCGATTTTTTAAAACATTGATAAGATTACAATGGGAACATTCTAGATTTCATATTTTATAAAATTACAAATAAAATGTTAAATTGTTTTTACAAAAATAAATAAATAAAATTAAAACTAGTAAATTTTAGCCATGATGATTTAAAACAACAACAAAAAATATCTTATCTATCAATTTATAAAATATCAAACCCGGGCTACTCAATTTGTGATTTTAATGATTGAGATGAGAAGTGAATGGAAATGGAAGGGGAAGGAAGTGAAGAGGCTCCTTCCTCACAATTATCATAAGCTTGGTGTAACCGTCCATCGCAAGATTCCAAGCCAAATAGCTTCACGAGATTATTGTTCCTCCGTAACCATAATCTTCTGAAATACAACAAAATGGAAGTGCACTCAAGCTGGTCTTCACTTTATTCGTCCATGCTAAATGCAGACATGTTGAGGATATTGAACTTCATTATCACTTTATTCATTTGGTAAAATATAAATAAATATATATATATATATATAAGTTTATTCAGAGAGACAGTTGAAAAGAGGGAAATATTTCCAGAATCTGTAGCTTCAACAACAAAGCATTTTCACAATATTTTCCTGCGCAGCTCAACATCATCAAATTCATTGACAACTTGTCCATGATTCCCTCCAGCATATGTTTGAGGAATAGCATAGTCAGCATACAGAAAAAGTCAGATAAAAAGTTCAAATTGTTAAAATTAGCTCTAAATTAATAAAATGTCAGCATTAATTTCAATCACCTTCCTCTCTACTCTCCTCAATCCAAATATATTCTATAGTGCCCAAAGGCCCTAGCAGAGAAGCGTGTGAAACAGAACTTGAAGATTTTTATTACTGCCATGTAAACCCATCTTCCAGAACGTGGCCCTTGTAAGCCTGTAGTAAAACCTCTTCATTATCTCTAAACTTGGAAACATACATCTCCAAGAATTTTTCCTCCCGCAATTTAAGCACCCCAAGAAAGGGTTGATTCTTCTAGAGTAAATTTTTTGACATTAGCAGTTGCAGTACCCTCCAGCGAGGAATCACCCTTTTCTCCATGCTCATCGTCAAAATCACAGGGTTATTAACCAGTAGTGACCTAGGCAGCATAATTTTATCCAAGAACACCTGAATTTTAAACTTTAGCCTCTTCTCAGACATGCCAAGTGACCCTGGACTTCTTCTAAACATTTGCATGGCCTCATCTTTGGAAAACCCACAGCTCTGAATTATTTCCACCTTTCTGTTAAACATAACAATGCTCATATCACTAATTATCCGGAAGCCATATACCAACATTCCCGAGTCTATGGAGAAACCCATGTTTACAGCCCGCGAGACATAGTTTCGAAGCAGGGACTGTCTTGTTACAAAAAGACGAGGGCGACGTGTTAGTAAAACTGAAAGTTGAGACCCAACGATCCCACAACTCTTGAAGAAAGCAGCATTGTCCAAAACCCTCTGTTGGTTTGGAATTATCCACTCGGCATGTCTTCGAAGCAGCTTAATTAAATCTTTCTCATCATTAAGAAGTTTCCTTAGACATTCCACACAGGGCACCACAGCTTTATTCAAACTACGCATCAGAAGAAGTCCATTCTTTGAGAGAAACTCACCCAACTCAAGACCCTGAAACCCTAGAAGCTGGAAGTACTCAATTTTTGGCTTCAGGGTTTTATCCACATGTGATAACAATATTTCGGGTTGACGACTAATCGTAGTTTGAATCTGCGATTCAGAAAGTCCAATCTGTTTAAAATAATCAAGCACCGTCCATGGATGCTGAGGAGACCTAATCTTAGAGAGTCGTTTTGAGATACGGACGGATTGAGCTTTAGAGAATTTGAAGTTGGTGCTTAGATAATCAACGATGGAAATTTGTTCCGCCGAGGCCGGAGATGGGGAAGAAGCAACAGTAGAGAACAGAGAGAGAAAGGTTCTGGAAGAATTGCAAAGAGAATACGAAAGTGCAGGGTTCAATCTGTGAAAATGCAATGATCCAAAACGATGCAAACCCATTCTCTTTAAATGCCCCATTTCACGGTTTCAGCTTTCTCAGGAGTTTGAAGCAGGCCTAAATGGCGAGAAAAAAGAGAAGATCCATATCCTAATTCAGGCATCGGGCATACCTGAATGAGGGATTAGAGTTGGAGCTTCCATGTAAATAAGAGGCTACCTTGCGAAGGGCCTTGGCGATTTGGCGCTAAAACAACTTCGGCAGTCGGGAAGACAATCGGGTGATTCGGACGCGGCTTCCCTCCGCTGCCCTCCTCTACCCAAAATGACGCCGGTTTGGCTGCAAAACGGGGGGCTAATTACTTTTTGTTTTTGTTTTTAATTAAAATCGGTGACGGTTTTAACAAGAAAATTTAAATTTTTTTTTTATCTTCCGTATCTTCAGTATCTCTCATTATCTCTATTATCTGCAATTATCTTTAATTATTATATTTGTAAATTTTATCAAAAATTTAAAGCTGTGTCTATAAATATAAGTAATGTATAATGTATTCAACAGCCTTGAATGGAATGAGAAATACTCTCTCTTATAGTCTTATTGATATTCTTTTTTTCTCTGTTCTTCTTCTTTATTTATAACACGTTATCAGTACGAATGCTCTAACGAAGGTATAATATTTTGATCTTCTTATTATTACTATGTATTATGTAACATCCCAAATTTATTTAGGTTTTAGAGTGAGTTAGTTAATATATATATATATATATATATATGAATTACAAATATACGTATAATAATTAGAAAGTGTAGATTCTCTTTTATTATTTAAAAGGTATTTCAAAAAAAAAAAGGAAGAAGAAGAAGAATTAAATTGGAAAAGATAAGTTTGTTACGTGTAGTTATGTCAAAAATACATATAATCATAATAATTATATAAAAAAAAGTTAAAACGGTTTTACATATATATATATATATAAAAGGTTTTTATGTGCGCGCGCACACACATATATATAAATCAAACATCTTAATATCTTTGATGTTAGTTTGAACAGCAATTTAAATAGGAAAAATAAATAAATAAATAATAATAATAATATGAAATACATTGAAATTCAAATTTTGAATCTGTTATATGAATTTTAATAAAATGTATATTTATAATTATATATATTAAAAAAAACTTTTGATTGATTCTGGCAGATTTCATGTAAGTTGGTTATCTGCTTAAGTTTAATGAGATTTCAATAATAATATCAATAAGGTAAAACAATTAATTAATTAATTAGTTAAAGGAAGATTTATTAATTAAAAAATAATAATAACATAATCCTACTTCCTACCTATTCATTCTTTATCTCTTAGCCGCCACTCAGTTTCTTCTTTAGCTTTTCCACTACCGTAGACTTGAGGTTTTCAGAAAGCGTTACTTTTTCTTCTACTCTAAACATTCCATCTCCATAAATCAAAATAAATTCAAGGTAAACTTTTCCATTCTTGTTTCTCTTCTCTTTCTAGATTACCTTTTTCATAATTTTTCTTTACCTCATTCTTTTCGTCCTTTCTCCTTAGTCCACCGTAGGCCTTCTTGTCACTATCATCTCCAAGACATACATATATTTGTTAAGGTGTGTACCTACTTTTTTTTTCCTTTTTTGTCTATCTCTCCTTTCTCACATTTGACCACTACTATTCATGAATACACACATATACATTAATAAGAAAAGGGATGAGAATGATTGGCACCATTGACTATTGTGTTAGGACTTAATGCTTTCCTTCATTTAGTCGTCTTTTTCCCTTGCTCTCTTTCTTGTATCATGTGTTTTTGTTTTAGATTCTGCCTCTTCGTAAGACGATGTACATATATATGCCTAATAGAAATATGAATAAATATATATGCCTCTGTATATATATATATATATATTATCATCCTTCACTCTGTTTTCGGTGTTCCTCCCCTCTAGTCATAGGTGTGTATAATCGTGTGTGTGTGTGTACACAAGACTTTCAGCAACATAAATAAAACAAAATTTACCGTTGTTAGCATTAAAAGATGGGATAAAGGCTTAAAGGAAATATATATATAGATATATATATATATATATATGTGTATATTAAGGACGCATAAGTGGTAGGAATCGGTGGAGTTTTTCAATTCTTAGTTGAGTGTTTCCTTAAATCATTTATATATAGAATTATATATATATATATATATTTGCATAACAGGTTAAAATAAATAAATAATGGGAAATTGTGTAAACCAAATATATGCATGAAATCAATGGGTAGTTATGGATAACTATGAATTTAAAAGGTCTCTTGACAGCTTTAAAATAATATTTGAAATCAATAATATGTAAGTGATTTGAAATCAGAAAAATTTAAGAAGACTTAGTTATGGGCCTTGGCGTAAACAACTTTTAGCAAAGGGAAAAAAAAACCTTAGAGTAGTTTTATTAAGATAAACTTGAATAGCTCAAATTATAATTTGACTTGGTATTTGTGTAATTTTGTAGACTCACTAAGAGCCTTATTGCTTGGAATTTTGTTTCACTATTGACGACAAAAAGGAGTCAGGTAACTTGGGGTTTTTTCTATGTGTATGCAATCTTTATCCATCATGATTAAATTTGTATTGACTCTATTAACTTAATTGGTACAAATAAATAGATAAGACTAAAAAGGTGAAAGAATAAAATTTTATTATCTTCTATGTTATTTGAATTCCCCTTTAAGCATAAATGTGTCTTGGTTATTTTCGTGAAAATTTATGGTAATTCGTTTTCTTTCAAGCATGCTTGCATATACTGGTTTTGTTATATATTCATGACATGCATAGGTGGTTGGACTTGGGAGTTTGTGATATTGATATATGTGACAAATTGTGACCACGTGGTTTGCCTCCACTTAGCGCAAAGTGGTTGGCCTTTTTAGGGCCCCGTTTCTTAATACTTACCTGGCCAGGTTTGTAGAGAGGGAACATGGGACAGTGACACCTCCTGGTTCTTTTAAGGAGGGGAGCCATAGTCTAGGCTTGGGTTCTGTATCTTTGGCCAGATACATCCTAAATACTGGAGTAGCTTTGATCAGTCCAGTGTGTGGGCCAGACTGTGTATAAGCCTATGGTTCCAGTCAGCGGAATAAGGTTGGATGGAGCAATAAGGGAGGAAGCATCCATTGTATATGAACATGGTACATTATTAAATTAGTTACATATTTTGCTAATGATTACTTAAGTTGTTGCAATATCTGTTTGCCTAGCTAATATGAAAATGTTTGGGTAATGGTTGTATCTACGTAGTTGAACTCTGGGTCATTGAGACGTTTGTGCTCACCCCAATTATTTAACATTTTCCAGGTGACAATCCTTATAGGGATCAAGGGAAGGTACCAGAGGAGTGAGCGAGTAGCTCTTACACTTCTCAAGTACATGCTGAATTAATTTGATTCTTTACTATTTGCCATGACCCTAGAACATCAAATCATTATTTTGTTAATTCCTTGAATGGATAGATTTTAGCGCTTTATTTCAAGTTTTATCCTCAATTTATATATGTTAGACTTTGAGACTGCAAGCTTGGATATTTATGCTCGAATTATATTATGGGTTTAATTGTTCATGTTTATTTGTAGTGGTTAACAGGCCGAGTCTTTCAGTGTAAACTTTATTATTGAGAACTTTATTATTGAGACCTTAAGATCAAACTAGTTTTTACATGGTGTTTTAAGTAGCTTAGAAAATTGGGTGTTGCATATTATGTTTCATGATTTATCGTCTATCATCTATACACTTCTATACTATGAGTATTTTTTTTCTTTCTTTTCCTAAATGGCTTGAAGCCATATGGTTTAAATTTTTTATTTTATGACCAGATGCCATAAAACTTTGTTTTCTACTTTATAACTAGAAGTCATAAAACTTTATTATTCTTTCTTATAGCCAGAAGCCGTAAAACTTTATTATTTTTTCTTATGGCCAGAAGCCATAAAATTTTGTTATTCTTTCTTATGGCCAAAAGCCATAAAAACTTTATTTTCTACTTTATGGCCAGAAGCTATAAAACTTCATTTTCTTTCTTATGGCCATAAGCCATAATTTTGATTTTTCTATTTTAATGACCAGAAGTCATAATTTTGATTTTCTAATATATGGCTAGAAGTCATAAAATTTTTAACTCATGATCAGAAGTTATTCAGATTTGATTTATCTAATTAAATGGCTAGAAGCCATGGATATATTTATTTTTGAGAAATATTTATTGTTTATTTTTAATTTATTTTGATTTGATAGATATAATTTTAAAATGCTTCTATCCGCAATGACAATATACCAAATTTTGTCTCTTTCTCATTTAATTTTCTTTTCTTTTGTTTCTTTTTGGTAATTTATTATTCTTTTTCTTTTATTCTCATTAACGAAGAGCAATGTAATTTCCATACATGCCAATTTTTTTTAATATTATATTCTTTTGTGGTAGTGCCATCATGTCAAACCTTACAAAACTTGAGTTTATGGCTCTTGACATTGCTGGAAGAAATACTTATCTTGGGTACTAGATGCGGAAATTCACCTAAATGCCAATAGGTTGGGAGACATAATTAAGGTAGAAAATAAGGCATCTAATCAAGAAAAGACTAAAGCCATGATCTTTTTACGCCATCATTTACATGAAGGACTAAAAATGGGATATTTGACCATTAAAGACCCACTCATTCTTTGGAACAGTTTGAAGGAAAGGTATGACCACTAGAAAACTGTCATTCTCCCAAAAGCTTGTTATGAATGGATGCACTTGCGCCTATAAGATTTTAAATATGTTAGTGAGTATAGTTCTATGATATTTAGAATTAGTTCTCAACTAAAATTATGTGGAGAAAAAGTCACTAATGAAGACATGTTAGAAAAAACGTTCTCCACATTTCACGTATCCAGTGTTCTCCTGCAGCAGCAATACCGTGAAAAAGGCTTCAAAAAGTATTTTGAACTAATTTCTTGCCTTCTTGTAGCTAAACAAAATAATGAGCTTTTAATGAAAAATCATGAATCCCGTCCAACTAACTCCACTCCATTCCCAGAAGC